GATACCGCATATAAAAAACAAAACAAGATGCCTGCCAGTCGACCATCTTTGATTCAATTGCAAAATAAATCGTCATGGACATGTGTCCTAACATTTATAATCTATGTACCAAGTTTGAATGAAAACTGACAAAGCATGTCCAAAATACGACATTTTCAAAAAACACAATGGCTGCCAGTCGGCCATCTTTGATCCAATTGTGAAATAAATCGTCATGGACATGTATCCTAACATGTATAATCTATGTACCAAGTTTGAATGAAAACTGACAAAGCATGTCCAAAATACAACATTTTCAACAAACAAGATGGCTGTCAGTCGGCCATTTTGAATCAAATCGCTAAATCACTGCATGTGCATATGTCCCACATAAAGTACTAGGCACATGCGAAGAATGAACGGAATCGTCCAAGGAATTCTGAGATATGACTCCGGACGGACGCACGGACGGAGACTGAATTATAAGTCCTCGTTTTCGGACTAATAAAAGTTGATGCAGTGCTGGGTATTATAATTCAATTGACTGATACACGTACCTACACCTAATTATAAAACACAAAATCCTAAGATTTATTTACTATGAAACTACTACTATCTAAGACAAAATTGGGTCTGTGTGAGCAATAAAACACATCTTGATTCAGACACTGCTTTTCATTGAGAGTATAGTTTTTTTAAGTATAAAATCTACATGAATGTCTAAAACAATGAACATGTTTAGCGATAGATGGGTTACCAGATAAAGTCTGCACCTTTTAATACTACTGGTACCATTTCTCCATAATAAAAACAAGCTGAGCACGAGGACAACACAGTATATTAAAATTCCAGTGTACAGCTGACAGAAATCTTGAAACTTTTAGAAAGGGCATATCATGTGATAAAAAAAGATAAGAAATAGTGACTGACTTACTAGGTGAACACCATGCTGGTTTGCGGATAGACCGTGATGGACTGGACACCAGGCTTGCATGGGAGGTGCCAGATACTGGCGCTGGTGGAGTGAAACCAACTGTACAACGTGGTTTGCTTCCACGACCTTTAGGAGTCAATTTGCCAGCTCTGTGAACTGGGGTAACTGAAGAAGATAAAACAATATACAACTAACTTAAATTTTCTCTCTCCCATTGTTAATTCCTGGCAAATTATCAACTTGCATGTCGCTTGCTCTCCAAAACCTCTAGTTCATCAGTTCAGAATGTCATGGAAATGAAAAAAAGAGGTTCCAAGCAAGTCAACATCTAAAAGCATCCAAGAGATTAAATAAAATGTAAGCAATATGTTAAAGCCAGAAAGAAAGAAACAAGCTTTCTGACTGGCTTATTAGTCAGTCAGAAAGAAACAAGCTTCCTGACTGGCTTATCAGCCAGAAAGAAAGAAACAAGCTTCCTGACTGGCTTATCAGCCAGAAAGAAAGAAACAAGCTTCCTGACTTGCTTATCAGCCAGAAAGAAAGAAACAAGCTTCCTGACTGGCGTGTCAGCCAGAAAGAAAGAAACAAGCTTCCTGACTAGGTTATCAGCCAGAAAGAAAGAAACAAGCTTCCTGACTGGCTTATCAGCCAGAAAGAAAGAAACAAGCTTCCTGACTAGCTTATCAGCCAGAAAGAAAGAAACAAGCTTTCTGACTAGGTTATCAGCCAGAAAGAAAGAAACAAGTTTTCTGACTGGCTTATCAGCCAGAAAGAAAGAAACAAGCTTCCTGACTAGGTTATCAGCCAGAAAGAAAGAAACAAGCTTCTTGACTAGGTTATCAGCCAGAAAGAAAGAAAGAAACAAGCTTCCCGACTGGCTTTTCAGCCAGAAAGAAAGAAACAAGCTTCCTGACTGGCTTATCAGCCAGAAAGAAAGAAACAAGCTTCCTGACTAGCTTATCAGCCAGAAAGAAAGAAACAAGCTTCCTGACTGGCTTATTAGCCAGAAAGAAAGAAACAAGCTTCCTGACTAGCTTATCAGCCAGAAAAAAAGAAACAAGCTTCCTGACTGGCTTATCAGCCAGGAAAGAAAGAAACAAGCTTCTTGACTGGCTTATCAGCCAGAAAGAAAGAAACAAGCTTCCTGACTAGCTTATCAGCCAGAAAGAAAGAAACAAGCTTCCTGACTGGCTTATTAGCCAGAAAGAAAGAAACAAGCTTCCTGACTAGCTTATCAGCCAGAAAAAAAGAAACAAGCTTCCTGACTGGCTTATCAGCCAGAAAGAAAGAAACAAGCTTCTTGACTGGCTTATCAGCCAGAAAGAAAGAAACAAGCTTCCTGACTGGCTTATCAGCCAGTAAGAAAGAAACTAGCTTCCTGACTGGCTTATCAGCCAGAAAGAAAGAAACAAGCTTCCTGACTGGCTTATCAGCCAGTAAGAAAGAAACTAGCTTCCTGACTGGCTTATCAGCCAGAAAGAAAGAAACAAGCTTCCTGACTAGCTTATCAGCCAGAAAGAAAGAAACAAGCTTCCTGACTGGCTTATTAGCCAGAAAGAAAGAAACAAGCTTCCTGACTAGCTTATCAGCCAGAAAAAAAGAAACAAGCTTCCTGACTGGCTTATCAGCCAGAAAAAAAGAAACAAGCTTCTTGACTGGCTTATCAGCCAGAAAGAAAGAAACAAGCTTCCTGACTGACTTATCAGCCAGAATGAAAGAAACAAGCTTCCTGACTAGCTTATCAGACAGTAAGGCTGAAATGACACTTGCAAGTGAAGTCAGATTTTAAACACTAATAGTCACATACCTGTTGCACTCATTCTTGGTTTGACTGGTGACTTGTCAACATTTTTCCTTTTACCTCTTCCGACACCTTTATTTCTTCCTTTTGATGTAGTCTTTCTTTTAGCTCTAGGAACAAAATCACAGTCATCCTCACTTTCGCTCTCCTCATCTGAACTTTCAGAGGAAACAAAACTGTCAGGATTGCTTGCAGGATCAAACTCATTGTCTGCACCTTAAAGTAAAGAGAAAATACTGTAAGTACTGAAAGTACTGTATATCATGCATAGTATATATTTTGTCAATTCTTACAATAGCCACCATGAGTGAAAAGATCAAATCACCCTGGGATGGATATCCAATACTATTTGTGATAAGAATGCATGGGTTCTTCAGCGTGCCCTGGGGACAGGAATAGCACAAACAGTTTTCATTGTCGTCATGAGATGGGATGCTGCATTCTCACAAACCCAATTTCATCTGTTCAAGTGTCTGTGCAGAATACACTCTAATCAATACTGGGTAATTTTGGTTTACACAATTCATATTTATTGTTAAACATGAAACCACAGGTTGTAATTAACAACTTGATTAATTTGATTTCTAATCACTGTGTGTACCCAATGGTTTACATCAGTCCTTGTCTGAGAAAAAGATGTACATGAAATAAGCTTCATTCTTATAAAATCTGCCCAGTCCACATGGGTAGGACTGGTTGTGAATACATAGACAGTTAATCTGATCATAAGAAATATTCACACCATCATGTCTTGTATTTTTGTACAAATTTTGTATCAAAATAATGTGCATCTTGTAATGTAATGTAATGTAGTATGAATTAAATCAGCCAAGGCATACTGGGAAAACTGTTGATGACATGTCTAAATGTTGATTTGTGGTGTTTTGGGGATTAAAACCAGATGGTCAAAGGTCATCGAAAGAGAAACGAATCAACATGCATATGAACTCTATTATGACTTGTACATTGTATTTGTTTCACCTTTGAACAAAATCAGTCCAGACATGTCCGAAAAATGATGTCTAATGGACGGAGCCCAACTAATAAGAGTCAATTATTTAAGTAACACTCAAATGCTTATGCATGGATCATTTGAATCAACTTTAATTTGTTGTTCATCTGTTATAATACTAATATCACACAGTATCAAAGCATTTATTAGAAACTTTATTAGAGTAAATTAACTTTTCATGCGAATAAAAAGAACATATCCCAACAAGGTAAAAAGCACCATCTAATAACAAGTCTACACTAACCGCCATTTTTATCCAGGTCCTTGATCTCTACAGAGGTGTTATTTTCTTTGGACACCTCATCTTTCTTTAATTCACTTTCTTCATCACACTTCACATCCTCTACATTTTCTGAGTTCACTGGTTTATTAATAAAAAAATATATATGTAAAGATGGTCTACATAGCACAAAAATATCGCACCAGAGCATGTGGATCATGCAACTGAATGTACTGGCAGGCATGTACTTGCTAAGACTTAGAAATTGTAACCTGACACACCCCAGGGTTACATGGATATTCTAGGAGACACATAATAAGACTAATATTACATACATTTATGTATCCTAATATACATTTAGATTGGTGGTTAACCATTTTAAACAAACCAATTTTCAGAACTTTTATAAATAATGTATAATTATTCATAATATATAGTTTTATTTGCCTACTGTGTAAGAAACAAATAAGGCTTGTTGTTTCCACAAATATTCAAATGAATTTGAAAACTGAAGTTATATTGTCACGAAATGAACAAACCTAACAGAGGTTTGCAGTCCGCAGTTCATCATGAGGGATGTTTATAACAAATTTGAATAAAATTGACACAGGCATGCCTGAGAAACAGTTGAAGACTGAAAAACAGAAGACAATACTCAACCAATGGTGCCAAACCTGTAAAAATATTCATGAGAAGCGGGCAAAACACTTGTGTAAAAAAAAAATACCCGCCATGCAGTTGGCATTTTGAATCAAATTGCAAAATAAAATGTCAGAGAAATAGTTTAATATTGATTTTTTGTTTTGTTTTTTGGTAAAAATATGATCACCAGTCAGTCATATGTGAACCAAATGAAAAACAAATTGATATGCCTATGTATCCCACTATACATGTACTTGTCTTTATAGCAACTTCAAACAATACTGAGCCAGGCATGTTGAAGAAATAGCGATGCACACAGGGATGGACGAACAGAACCCAAAACAAAAATCCCCATTTTGGACTTCTTCCCACATGTACAAGGACTAATTAATAAGCAGTATGTAATAAGATTAACAAGTCATTGTCAATGACACGTCCCTGTTCTGTTCATATTTGAGTGTCAGTGACATATACATTCAAAGCAGATCATGACCGAAATGCACCTGCATATGTACAACACATTGTACTAAATCTGAACAAAATCCATCCATGCATGACTGAGATCCGGTTCCGGAATTGTGAAAATACGTGATTTTGATGCATTTTCGGCCTTAAAATGGCCATCATTCAGCTATTGTTAAGCGGATCATGAAACAATGCACATATCTATTTGTGACGTGATGTACCATGTGTGTGTGAAGTTTGAACTTGATCAATCCAGACATGTCTTGGATACGGATCCAGAACTGAATTCTTTAACAAAATGGCCGCCAGTCGGCCATTTGAAACTTAATCCGAAAAAAAAAATGACGTGCATCAAGGTCCTATTATGTTTAATGTATGTACCAAATTTGAACAAAATCCGTCCATGCATAACTGAGATCCGGGTCCAGAATGGTGAAAATGTGCGATTTCAATGCATTTTCGGCCTTAAAGCGGCCGCCATTTGGCTGTCGTTAATGAAATCATGAAACAAATGCACATACATATTTGTGACATGATGTACCTTGTGTGTGTGAAGTTTGAACTTGATCAATCCAGACATGTCTCGGATACGGATCCAGAACTGAATTCTTTAAAACAAAATGGCCGCCAGTCGGCCATTTCGAACTTGACCCGAAAAAAAAAATGGCGTGCATCAAGGTCCTATTATGTTTAATGTATGTACCAAATTTGAACAAAATCCGTCCATGCATAACTGAGATCCGGGTCCGGAATGGTGAAAATGTGCGATTTTGATGCATTTTCGGCCTTAAAATGGCCGCTATTCAGCTATCGTTAATCGGATCATGAAAAAAATGCATGTGCATATGTCCCATATAATGTGCGATGTATGAGTGAAGTTTGAACTTAATCGGTCCATGCATGTTCGAGATACAGGTGATCACGGACGCACGCACGGACGGACGCACACAGGGCAAAACATAAGTCCCCGTTTTCGGACTATGTCCGAACGGGGACTAAAAAGATAATACTTATGGTTTAAATGTAAGAATGTGAAAGGAATGCATTTAGAATTAATTAATTTTAACTAATGAAACAATAAATCCTTGTTTTACACAAAACAAACTACCGACAATGCATCTTACATGTACATATAAAGTTCTCACCTACTGAGTCCGATTCTTGCGAACTTTTCTTAGACAGTTTTAAAGCTAATTCCAAATCACGCTGATACAGTTTATCATCTAATGGAACCCTGGAATAAAAAAGATCAATACAGATAAAATGATTTTTATCCAAAACAGGTCAGAGCAACGTGTCTCAGCATGGCTCATGCTGATTAACAGAGTGATTCAAATCTAATAATATATCGTAATTCAATTCATTTGACCAAACGATGCAAGTGCAAAAACCATTTTAACAAACTACTATTATGACACGGTATAAACAGACTGAAAATTAATTAAATGACATAAACTGATATCACATATTCATCTATACAAACAGCATGCATGTACAAAGTTTTTTTGCATTTGGCTAAACTGCATACATAGAACATTCTTAAACAGTTACATGTATGCAAATTAACTACAGTGTAATTACAAGTCATTGAAAATGACACAGTCCCCGTTAAATTTTTGAAAGTTCTCTTTGTGCTCGTTATATTAAAGCGGAGGGGTTGTCGCGAGCGTGTCCTTGAAACTTGAGTTCCAAGTATCGTATACAACAGATTGTTTATTTACATCAAAACACTTGTTCTGTGTAGTAGTAGTATGGCCAAAAATAAAAACAGTCGTTATTCGGCCATCTTTGATCTGATTATGAAACACACTGATATGTATGATGTATGTGCCAAACACAACATTTTCAAAAAACAAGATGGCTGCCAGTCGGCCATTTTGAATCGAATCGCTGAGCCACTGCATGTGCATATGTCCTACATAAGGTACTAGGCACATGCAAAGAATGAACAGAATCGGTCCACAGGATTCTGAAATATGACTCTGGACAGACTGACGCATGAACGGACGGACACACTGACGGACAGACAGACTCAGGAACTCACAGACGGTCGGGGACATGTATCCTAACATGTATGATCTATGTACTAAATTTGAATGAAAACTGACAAAGCATGTACAAAATACAACATTTTCAAAAAACAAGATGGCTGCCAGTTGGCCATTTTGAATCGAATCGCTAAACCACTGCATGTGCATATGTCCCACATAAAGTACTAGGCACATGCAAAGAATGAACGGAATCGATCCAAGGGATTCTGAGATATGACTCTGGACGGACGCACGGACACACAGACGGAGACTGAATTATAAGTCCCCGTTTTCGGACTTTGTCCGAATGGGGACTAAAAATGCACAGATTGATGCCAAACATTTTAGGCAAGTACCGGTAACTACAAAGTATGCATGAATTCAACAAATTGTTGTCAGAATGTCAACAAAATATGATGAAAGTAGTTAATTTACATGCGAATTATTAGGTTTGGAGTTCATCACAAATTACTTGAGAAGCAAAATTATTCCATTGAATAGATATGAACATATCCAGTGACGGCAATTCTAGAAACAATGTGATACATGCATCCCCACTGATGTTGATATTCATGAAATATACAGCTCGAGCTGAATTTGTTGCGAAAGTTTTGCTTTGCAGTAATAATTACAGTTATTTTCATAACAAGCGACCACATGGTTGAAATAGTCTCGGGTCTTTGCAGAGTGTCCTCTCAAAACAGAGTTGAGAATGTTCTACATGATGAAATATTAGCTATTTGCCATGGTTATTGTTACAACAAAGAACTGACAGCGATTGAGGTTAAAACCACTACATCCACGAACAACTTTATTCTATTACTGGTATATGCAAGTCAACCTGAAGTATCTTAATTTATATACCCACCTTTCTTCATTTTTCTTTTTATTGTTTGATAATTTAAGTTCCTTTTTTGGTTTTTCTTTTGCAATCTTTGGTCTTTTAGCTATAGGTGGTGTTGGTTCTGTAAAATCATCTGGAAAATGAAAAACGAATTATTATGGTATCAAGCTCTGCTGTAACTACATGTATGTATCTACATACATGTGCATCTCTAGCAGTGTAAGCAAAGCATCTTTAATCATGAATTTGTGAAAAATACAGTGTAATAGTGAATAGTTTTTCAAATACTCCTTGTCCTCTCCTTTCATTTCTCGGTGCTAATTACAAGTGCAAACAAGTTTCGCAAACTTTATACTGTGTGTTTGGAAGACAGGGCAGACTGTACTCATATGCTAAGTAAAAAATCTCCTATGGGAATTCAAAACCACAACTTCCACAGTGCGAGGCTAGCCACTGTACCAATTTCCATTTTCCAAACTTGATATTGGGGGAAAGGGGAATTGCACCAACTGAACCTCAAAAGCATTACATAGTAAGTTTTTTACTCCCTTTTAAGATGACATTGACGTTATACTCACCATCACTATTGTTTTCACTTTCAACATCACAAAATTTACTGTAATCCACCTGTTTTCTTTGTCTACTAAAAAAATGTATTACATTCAGTTTTACACATTCATGCTGTACTAAATCTGTATGTAAAATTAACAACATTGTTATAGAACTAATAACCATATCAAAATAAAAACACAGTGAATTATAGGACATGTACTTTTAATGCACCTGTAATTTATGATAGTGCTATAACACTACACATGTACTACATGTATGGGTGGAAGAGGTGGCTACTACCTGGTATAATTCAGTTCTAAATAACTATAGCCTATGGCACATACAAATAATATACAGCAAGTGACAATAACTTGTAAGACAAGGTTGCAACACCAGATCCAATACAAAATGTGCCAAACACAACACGGTGCAGTCACAGAATCCGCATCAAACATGACATGATGCAGTCACATACCAAACATGACATGATGCAGTCACATACCAAACATGACATGGTGCAGTCATACATGAAAGATCCATATCGAACATGACATGGTGCAGTCACATAGGAACATACCAAACATGACATGATGCAGTCACATAAGAACATACCAAACATGACATGATGCAGTCAAGTAAGAACATACCAAACATGACATGATGCAGTCACATACCAAACATGACATAGTGCAGTCATACATGAAAGATCCATATCGAACATGACATAATGCAGTCAAGTAAGAACATACCAAACATGACATAATGCAGTCACATACCAAACATGACATAGTGCAGTTACATAGGAACATACCAAACATGACATGGTGCAGTCACATAGGAACATACCAAACATGACATGATGCAGCCACATAGGAACATACCAAACATGACATGGTGCAGTCACATAGGAACATACCAAACATGACATAGTGCAGTCATACATGAAAGATCCATATCGAACATGACATGATGCAGTCACATAAGAACATACCAAATATGACATGGTGCAGTCAAGTAAGAACATGCCAAACATGACATAATGCAGTCACATACCAAACATGACATAGTGCAGTTACATAGGAACATACCAAACATGACATGGTGCAGTCACATAGGAACATACCAAACATGACATGATGTAGCCACATAGGAACATACCAAACATGACATGGTGCAGTCACATAGGAACATACCAAACATGACATAGTGCAGTCATACATGAAAGATCCATATCGAACATGACATGATGCAGTCACATAAGAACATACCAAACATGACATGGTGCAGTCACATAGGAACATACCATACATGACATGATGCAGTCACATAGGAACATACCAAACATGACATGATGCAGTCACATACCAAACATGACATGGTGCAGTCACATACCAAACATGACATGGTGCAGTCACATAAGAACATACCAAACATGACATGATGCAGTCACATAGGAACATACCAAACATGACATGATGCAGTCACATACCAAACATGACATGGTGCAGTCACATACCAAACATGACATGGTGCAGTCACATAAGAACATACCAAACATGACATGGTGCAGTCACATACCAAACATGACATGGTGCAGTCACATACCAAACATGACATGGTGCAGTCACATAGGAACATACCAAACATGACATGATGCAGTCACATACCAAACATGACATGGTGCAGTCACATAGGAACATACCAAACATGACATGATGCAGTCACATACCAAACATGACATGGTGCAGTCACATAGGAACATACCAAACATGACATGGTGCAGTCACATAGGAACATACCAAACATGACATGGTGCAGTCACATAGGAACAGTGGTTTGAGTATGATAATAATGATGATTATAATAATAACTTTATTACATTGTAATGACTCAATGAGTAATGAAGTAATACATTATAACAAAAGTAGAATGTGAGACAATAAAGACAACAAATCTATAAAAATAGATTTACTAAATAAAGTTTTCAAATAATGAACTACCTGTCTGATCAGGTGCATGTCTCAAGTATTCATTATTGTAATAAACTTGTTTGTCTTAGAAAGGTGTTCAAATCTAGAATTTGTTTGAAAAATTAACTATACTTTTTTGCATAATAAAATGAATTTTATCTAACATTGTACTTTTTGCATAATCTATCCTCTTTAGGTATTTATGTTGTTTGGGGCGACCTAGTTCAATTTCAAGTTTGAGGAAACTTAGTCTAAGATGTGACATCTTTTTATAATGATTTCTGTTGTTGAAATATGGTACTTGAATAATATCATGTTTTAATAGGCAATATATTCTAAATTTTGATTCTGTTCTATCAATATTTTTTTAGCCAAAAGTTGTTATATTGTGTTCTAAGTAACTTTCTCATAAAATGATTGTTTTGATATAGTCTTAATTCATTCTCATATAAGGCTTGTAGATTTGTCGAGTCTTTCCATGAACCCTTGTGACAGTGACATTCAAGACAGCATATGTGTAGCTGGTTGAATTAGAATTTAATGAAGAATGGTAATTTCCCAGGTTCCAGTCTGCAGCCAATAGTAATGATATGAGTAAGCCAATACATTGTATATTCATACAAGCAATACTTCCTGGAGAGTATATTTGAACAAATTACAAAATTAAAATTGGGCATCAAATAAATAAAATTCATGAAAAATTAAAAATAGTTAGAACTTAAATATAAAACAATTTAAAACATTTTTGAAAGCTAAATGCTGCAGATTAAATACTGCTAAGGGACGACGTCAAAAGATCGATGTTGGATAAAAAAATTAATTCTTTTAGTTTTTTCCCCAAACCCCCCACTGAAACTTAATTGATAAATATTGATCATGGCATCAGACTGCATTCACCATTAAATACAAATTGATAATCAGACAGTAGTATGGCATAGCAGTTGGTTGTAATCAGACAGTAGTATGGCATAGCAGTTGGTTGTAATCAGACAGTAGTATGGCATAGCAGTTGGTTGTAACTCAGACAGTAGTATGGCATAGCAGTTGGTTGTAACTCAGACAGTAGTATGGCATAGCAGTTGGTTGTAATCAGACAGTAGTATGGCATAGCAGTTGGTTGTAATCAGACAGTAGTATGGCATAGCAGTTGGTTGTAATCAGACAGTAGTATGGCATAGCAGTTGGTTGCAACTCAGACAGTAGTATGGCATAGCAGTTGGTTGTAACTCAGACAGTAGTATGGCATAGCAGTTGGTTGTAATCAGACAGTAGTATGGCATAGCAGTTGGTTGTAACTCAGACAGTAGTATGGCATAGCAGTTGGTTGTAACTCAGACAGTAGTATGGCATAGCAGTTGGTTGTAACTCAGACAGTAGTATGGCATAGCAGTTGGTTGTAACGCAGACAGTAGTATGGCATAGCAGTTGGTTGTAATCAGACAGTAGTATGGCATAGCAGTTGGTTGTAACGCAGACAGTAGTATGGCATAGCAGTTGGTTGTAACGCAGACAGTAGTATGGCATAGCAGTTGGTTGTAATCAGACTAGCATTACTAGTCTGAGGTTGTAATAATGAAGCGAAATATACGCATACGTTTCAGGGTTCTGCGCAAGCTCTAGGTCCATGACCTGAAATGAACCTCATTTAACGCACATATTTACACTCGGACCAAACCATTTTCTCGTCTTGGATGGTTTTTTATTCATTTTCTGTTACTTTTGTCTATGATTGGATAGAAAAAAAACGAACTGCAAATACTCCAAGGTTTTTTGGACTTCATTAAAAAATAAAATCGTTTTTGTAGGATGGAAACTTTTTTAAGTCAACCCCCCCACCCCCAAACTAAAGCAAATAAATTTTTTATCCGACATCGATCTTTTGACGTCGTCCCTAACAATTTATTATTGTTTCAATGTTGATTTGAAAGGATAAAAAAAAAGTAAATAGGGTACAACATATTTGAAATGTTGCAGCCAGAATTATGTTCATTGGTTTCACAATCTAATTTACCAAATCTGCAAAAGATGCCCATCATGATTTCAAATAAAAAATAAATTACCATATTTGACAAATTTGCTCAATAAACATTAGCCACAAAAAGAAATACCATAAATAACCATTTGCATAGCTGGCAATTGGCAGTGAAAACACTGATTTGGCAAACTTTATTGCTGACACTTTCAACCAATTACTTCTTTAAATTACGAGTTTATGCAACTTTTGTAAATGTAGGGTTTTATGATGTTCCAGAATTATGAAATGTATGATGCATAGGATACTACATTTGTATCCTATTTTGGCTACACCAGTATAGAGGTATAGTATATACCGTATTTGCTGTCAGTGTGATTGCTTTATTTGCAGCATATGCACTTACTTAAATGACAGAGATCTGTCTAATAATAATAACTTTATTGCATCCTTAGAAATACAATGTTTCTATCAGTTAATAGCAATAAAGATTAGTTGTGATAACTACTACTATAAAAAGAAAGTTAGTTGTTAAAAGGATAAAGCAAGTGTTACATATCAAATGGCATTTTCATTTCTTGATTGAAATGCGTTATGAATATAGTTGCCAATTTTTTTTTATTATTACATCATCTTTTGAAATCATCAAGAAATTCAATTTCTGGAGATCATCCTATGTTTCTTGTGGACATATTTAATGATCAAGCAAACACTAAATGCATATTTTGATGCACTTGTATATTTAACAACAATATCCAATGCTAACATGTCAGGATTGTAGTTATTTAAAGTTATTTATTTTAGCATTGTTGTCTTATTGACATGAGGCTCAAAACAAAATACAATGTTCTTTTTTGTAATGACACACAGGCATACTCATCGTACTCTGTACAGAAAATCTCATATTCGTCAATAAAACAATTCGGCAGTAAATAAAGCCCAGTATAGTATAAGAACATTATGAACGTGTTCGATCAATACAGCTCACTGTACAGCTCAACTAAGTAGTGACCCTGCTGACAACTCACAGCTGTACCACCCGTAGCCATACTGCACATAAATACCCGTATTGTACACAACTGTTGACCTGTTCACAGGCTCTAGCTGATAGGAACTGTGACCCGAGTAACGCCAGTTTTGCGGTCGAATATCGTTTTTTGGGGGGTTTAGTCACCCACTATTGACTTACCGGCCAGATCTTCTAGAGTCTGACATCTTCGTCAATATTTGAACGTTGTTGCCAATCCATCCAACGAGTTATTTTAACCAATGTACGTGAATTTCGTATATCACCGCCAAAAACAAAAACAAAAGGCGCCATTGATTGACATATATAGTAGAGCGATATTCGCCAACATGTTTTTAAAACGATTACGAATGTATGTTTTTGCTAGCTGATGTATTTTATATAAAAATATAATTCCATGTTTTACTCTTATTTGTTCTGTGATGAAATTCAGAATATATTGAAATTATCTCTAACGAATACACACTCTACGAATGCAATTGCTCAGGACTACCGCTGAGGTACAGTCACGATTGTTATGAGGTGTGCTACATGTAACCATAGACAGCATACTGTTAATGATTACACATGTATTAGCTGACTTATAATTTGTTAGAGAAAACAAGAGCAAAATGTTAAGTCTTTTGTTTATTTATGCCCGGAGTAAAAATGCACACATTCTGATTGTTGAAATTAGTATTGCCAAGAATTTATAAGATTTTAACCAACTGACATTTTACAAAAGTACATACCTATCAAAATAATATCAATTTTTTTTTTGAGTGGTTAACTAATTTTTTTTCAAAAGTGTTATGACGTACATCGTTATGCGACTATCCCTGTAAATGTAGTAATTTTTTTTTTCAATTTTTTTCTAAATTTATTACTAAAGAAAATTAAAAGATGAATTAGTGAAGTTTAGTTAGTTTTGATCTCCATTCTCAATTATGAATTTTACTAACATTTAAGAAAATCCAGAAAGAGCCCAGTCAATGCACGTGTGTGTTGTAGGAGTGTCAACATTGGTCGACTCCATTTGATGAAGGTCAAAGGTCAACATGTACTCGTTTGTTGTTTAGAAAAAGCGCCATTTTGTTTCTATCTCGTGTGAGAGAGGAAAATGTAGTTTTTCGCTCTGTCGTATAAATTTTAAACGTGTTTCACGGTATTGCACTATTGTATTATAATTAGGCTTTGACAAATGTCTAGAATGCCGTCTAAGAGAAAACGAGAAAAGGGTAAGTTGACTTTCAAAAGTTTTGGGGAAGTACGAAACGAAGTTGCGCGGAAGAAAGCAGACAGTGATTGAAAAGGTCGACAGGTCATGGTAATATTTCCCAACACTGCCATGCCGTTACGTTTAATTTCGGAACTAACTGAACTATCTTCTTTGCAGTATTTGCGTCTATATATTTGTTGCTCTGAACATCAGGATTCCATAATTTCCGTTAACTGAGAGAATGGATTTTTAAATAAGATTGGTCCTGCAGAGTGGCGTAAAATATGTCTTGAATTTGAAACAGCCGAAACAATGAAGCGTTATCTCGGATATTGTTCCATGGAAACCAATAATGCATCAAATTCTTGTCTGTCTGATTTTTAAAATCTATTGACAAAGAATAAGTGACAAAATGCTTGAATGGGGAAGATAACCTTGCTGTAACGGATCTAGGCACAGGGAGCCCAGGAACTATAATCAACTGTAGTACGCAGTCTCTATGAGCGGGGGGGGGGGGGGGTTATCGGCAGGTATCTAGTGTAAGAAATAGACAAGGGATGAAGGCTCCAGCCAGCTCACATTTTTTAAACTCGAAAAAACAGACGAAAAGAATGAAACATAAAATCTAAAAAAAATACCAGGTTGAAGAATATTAGTTGCTCTTTCAAATGTTGCCAAAGCCTTACCTACATTTTACCAATATCTGCAGAATAAATCAAGAAAACTACAATAATCGATATTCCAAATTATATTTCGATTCGCTTCACACAACTCAAGCATGATATCGGTAGAAACTATCGATCGACTTACATTACCTTTATTCGAACTAAAACTGGTTAAATCCTGTGAAAATCGAAACACCAGAGCAATATTAACAAACCCAAGAAAACAACGTTTGGTTT